AGCCGGGGCGGCGGCGCAGGTGGCGCTGGGTGAGTGGTGGGAGGGCGGAGGCGCAGAACTCCCGCCTCTCGCCCATCCCCGCTCCAGAGCGAACTTTTTGCGTCCCGGGAAACTGTGGGTTGAGGTGAGGAGGGAGTCCCCATCGTCTGAACAGGGAAGCAACACGCAGACACGGCGACGGCCCCTACACACACGTGCCCAGAGACCCACGCACGCACTTGGGACACTCGAACACACGTGCACTCGGAAAGGACGCGCCCAGCGGCTTACCCTGGCTGTCCCAGGGCAGCGCTACCAGCCTGCGCCGACTTCCAGCGGGCAGGGCGCTCCAGCGCCGCGTACTTGGCGAGGGTGGGGGAAAAGCGGCCGCCCTTGACCGCCGCCGGGGGCGGGCCGGGTGGGACGCATCCGGAGGTTCCTGCTTCCCGGCCGCCCGCAGGTGTGAGACGTAAACAGGCGCCGAGCACGTGACCGCTCCGCAGAAGAGTGGGTAGTGCTCCCCCGACCCCACCACCCAGCGGGACCTCCATTCCCTCCTTCTCCCGCCAGGGCGAGCTGGCTGGGCCCCACGCCCGGCCTATTTCCATTCTCGGTTTAGAGCGGTGAGAAGCCCTCCTCCCGAAGTGGGCGCACTACGCCCCCTGGAGTCAGGGTAATGCTGAAGGACGGAAAACTTGGGCGGAGGCGGGTTTACTGAGCCTCCGCCCTTCTTCCCCGGAATGCATCCCTGAAGGTATCAGAGGGAGATCCTTGATGGTAGTGGACAGCTGCCCCTGTTCCTTTGCCCCCAGCCCGGGGCACAGCTGCCTGAGCGCCTGTGGGTCCCCTTCCTACCGCCCCGTCTCCCCTTGCAGAACTGGGTGCTCCTCCTCCCAATATAAATGCAGAAAGCCCACCGGTGCAAGGGGGTGGGGGAGTCCCTCCTCCCTAGGGAATGCATGATGTAAACACCCCCTCAGTACCGGAATGAGCCTACCCCCTCTAGTAGGAAGGAGGACGAGCCTCCTCTCCCGGGGAATGAAGGAGTGGGCAGCAGCCCTTCGCCTCCCTGCCCGCCCCACCCCCAGCCCTGCGCACACGCTGAGCCCAGCTGCTGCCTGAGCTTCCGGGCAGGCTGCCAGGGAGGGGAGGAGGCTCTTGGTGCCCCAGGAGGCAAGGATCAGGGCAAGGACGGGGAGGGGGTCTGTGCTAGGGAGAGGGGCTCAATGTGTTCTTGTGAGGCTCAGGGTCGGGGTGAGCCTGAGGGTAGCTGGGGCTATGTTTCCCTTTCCAGGGAAAAAGAAAAACAACCCTTTCCAGAGAGCTAAAAATAGAGCTGAGCGCCAGCCAGAGCTGTGGCCTGGAAGGGGGGGGATGCTCCTTCCTGGGGCGGAGCCGAGCATGGCAGGCCTTGGCGGGGTGCGAGTGTTACAGGGAGGGAGGCTGTCCTTGCCCAGGGGCGCGGGCATCAGCTGACCCCGCCAGGTCACAGAGACCCCTACGGGGAAGTCTGCGGTAGACTGAGACACGCAGTGTGTGTAAGAACCCCGTGTGAGCGACTGCGACTAGGGCCGTGCGTGTGCCAGAGACATTAGAGCCTGAGGTTGTGGCTGGGCGCGAAGACTCAGGACAGCCGTGTGGCCCCTGTATCTGTGTGGGTTGCCCTGGAAGCTATGGAAAGAAGGAACACGGCCCCACGTGATGGATGAGGCTGCGACTGTGGCTGCGCGAGACGGAATGTGGAGAAGGTCGCGTGGGTGTCGACTTGTTCGCGAGGATGCTTGTGCCTCCGAGAAAGACGTGGCCCTGCCCGCTGCGAGGCTGGTGCAGGTCTGGCCTGTGCGTTTGGACGGCTCACCCCTCTGACCGTGAGGGGGCCACGGTCCCTGACAAATAATCACTCTTAGCAGTGACTCGGAGGGGAACCTGAGGAACACACAGCCGCACCAGGGACAGGCCCGGGTCCCCCGGGGAGAGGGCACAGTGCTGGGCAGTGGGTAGGGACCTCCACAATGGGGGCGACTGCGTGTGTTCTCCGAGCCCGCCACCAGGTGGCGCCGCCTCCGCAGAGCCTAGCGTGCCGCCGACTACCCGCCGGGGGTGGGATTGGCGCCGACCGAGCCTCGGCCCCCGACCTGTGCCGGGGCGCAGGGACCTGGCGGCCAGAGAGTGGGGCCCCGCAGGCTCTTGCCTGCCTCTCTAGACTCCGAAGCGGGAGTGTCTGGGGAGAAGCTTCGACTGGAGGAGCGGAGGGGGAGGGGCGGCGGCCGCGCCTTGGCCCTTTGTGCTC